CAGCCCACACCTCTTCCCGGTCCAGCCCCACCACCCACAGGGTGCTTACCTCAAATGAAGCATCGCTAGACTTGTGCAGGTAATTTAGTGATGCAGCTCGTTTCATACTACAAGAAAGCAGAGGAGAGCAGGTGTGTTCTTGCTGTGCCTGCCCAGACCCCAACCCCAAAGGGGGCAGGGCCCCCCCATCTGCCCTGCATCCAGCCTGGCCCTCGCAGCACTGATCCTTACCTAGTGTTCCTGGGCTCCAGGGGACCATTGCCCTGCAGTTTCTTAACCAACATCTCACTGCTCCTCCTGATCACATCCCGGATTTTCCCCAGGGAGCTGCTGCGCTGGAGGGTGCCACTGCCATCCTGGACACAGAGACACAAGCCATGGCGATGGCTGAGTGGCACTGATCAGGCTCCAACATGCTGCAGATGAGTGGCCAGGAACTGGGCTTGGCTCCAAACACCCTCTTTCACTGAGGATTTAGCCCTGGCCCAGAGCAGGCTTACTGCTCACAACGTGCCTCCCCTCACCCTAGTTCTCCAGAGGACGTGATGACTGCTAAGTTAAGGATACACACCCCTCCCCAGCCTCGGGCTCATCCAGACTGAGCCTCCCTCCTGTCTGGTGCAAGCTCAACACCTAACCAAGCTGCTGACCTGTACCAGGCACCAGCACAAATGGGTTTCGCAGTCCCAGGGAATGGCTCGAACATGGCATAGCTTTACCACATGCTAGGCCTGCAGGCTCACTCATGTCAGACAAGACCCATCCACAAGCACACATAGCCTTGTCCCACTTCTAACACCCCCAAAATGATTCACTTTGAGCCTGCTGAGCAATTCAGGCAGCTCCATCTGGGATGCATTCACGTGGCTGCACCAACACTGCGTTGCCAAGTGGGTACCACTCTCCTCAGCATCCCAACTTCAGCTGTGCCTGGCCCTGCTGGCTGCCCTGGGGTGGCACTTTGCAGGGGGGTCTTTATGGCTCCCTACTTTTTCAAAAGAGCAAAACCAGCCCTAAATTTTGTTCCCCAGCCCGTTTCCTCCCACATGCCCCCCCACTGTCCCCACTACAGAGAAAGGCACTCTCAGCCCCTGACAGGCTACAGCCCATCTCCCAACATTTAGGTCCACATGCATGCATAAGCCCAGGCTGCCAGGATGACACCACTTCATGCCACCATGCCCATGGCACCAAGCTCTTCCCCTGTGGACATGCATGCTCATTACACAAGGTTGGGACACCAGTGCTGATGTGGTTACTTTTGCTCTGATGACCCAGAAACAGCTGCACTCCCTGCTCCTGATCCCAATGGCTCCTGGCACATCAGGGCAGAAAAAACAGAGATAAAGTGACCACAAAAGCCCTTTGCTCCTTACAAGCCTGTGGCCCAGGCTGGCATCAGCAATTGCATCAGGACTGTCCATGCAGCTCTGCAGGTAAGTGTAGTGTCTGTCTTAGGCCAGTCACTCCCTTCTCCTGAGCCCTGAAGATTGTGGCCCTGGGGAAGGCTTTTCCAACACTTCCCTGGTCTGACTACCCAAAGCCAATCCAGCCCTAGACCCTGCTCCAACAGCTGAATAGGACTTTCCTACCACCAACCCTTTCTCCAGGTATGCATCTCATCCCTTCTTGGCTAAGCCAAGCGCATTGAAACTCTTCACTTCCTCATTAGGATGAGGGGTTTCCAAACCGAGAGGCATGTGCTGCTGCTGCAAGGGACCCACGCACCAGGAATGCAGAGAGCACCAAAGCATTAGCAAGGAAAACAATTCAACTCCTGCACCAGGCATCCTGGTATGTGGTACCAGCAGAGACAGGGATGGGGTGTCTTTTGCTTCCCCATCACACTTATACCAGGTCACCAAGGTACTGCCATACCAGGCACTGTTCTTGCCAGGGCACACAAGTGAGAGATGGAGAAGGGAACACAGCTGGGGCAGGGGAGTGTGGCCATGGTACAAGGCAGCAGGATCCAGCCAGACGGTAGGCTCTGGGGTCAGGACATTTCCTCAGCTACAGCAATGCAGACTGACTGCAGACCAACACCAGAACCAAATGCTCGTGCATGCTAGGTTAAAAATAGCCTCCCTCCTCCCTTTGCTGCAGGGTTATTTTTAAGCCAGAACATTTATGGGGCTTGGTTTACTGCAGAGCCTCTACCCCAATGCAACCACCAGGATGAGAGCACTCAAAGAAGCAACTCCACCACTGAGCCACTCTCCAGTGCATGCTCCCACCCTGACTGCTGCAAAGAGGCAGAGGATTTGGGCAGGGTTTGACAGCATGTGGAGCTCAGCACTGGGGAACTGCTCTGGCTAATGGAAACACTGGTTGGGGAAGGCCTAAGCTCAATGCTCCAGGGCAGCCCTGTCACACACATTTACAGAGCTGAGGTTAGCAGCATCCCCAGTTTGGAGGTTAGGGAGAGGCACAATAAAGTTGGGTCTCTCATTCCTGAGAGAGGTGCCCTGGGGGCAGCACAGCTCCTGCCAACACACAGGCACCAAGCACCCCCACACCAGCTCCAGCAGCACTCGCACCCGC